CACCCACCCATTTTTGTACAATTTTATTTACCTGGCTTGAAGCTCATTCTAAGGGCATGCTCTCCAACTAGGTAATAGAGAGGCACGTTTTTGATAAATGCTGCATGTATGCTTTTCCTCTCAATGCACACTTGAACCCCAAATGTACTTGCATTGAAGCACAAGGACTGAACAAATGGCTCTTTTCTGGAAGAAGACTGTCCAAAGTAAAAGGAATTTCCTGATGAAACATCTGTAGACTGTCTGTCCTATTAGATAATACACATGTCAAATTAAACTGGACAAGAGTAAGAGGAATACTTGCTTTCAGTAATAGTTACATGTAAGTCGAAGGAGGAATTCACCAGTCTATTTGAGATAGCAAGGTCATGACATAAGACAGCTTGGGTTTCTGACAAAATTACCAACTCAGTGGCTTGATTAGACTATCTAGTGTAAAAAGAGCTTCAGGCTATAACAATGGAAAATTATATCACAAATTAATTCTAAATATTTAAATTTGTTTTATTGGAGTTTTAGACAGTCTTAACAGGTTCTTGATAAATCTGAGTGTGCTCTAGACTGATTGGAGTCCTTTTCTTTGATTTCTGATTGGGTCAAACAACAGAACCTTCACCTGTGTCCATGAAAATTCTGTCTCAGTTGAGGTCTAACATGAATGAGACTATATCAACTAGATGGTCAAAGCATATCAGATGTGAGAAATTTCCACTTAACTATGTAATATACATGTGATAAGCATTGCTTGAAGATGAACAAATTAAAATTAATTAAAATTAGACTCAAATCCATTAAATGAAAACTATGATTTCCTGGAGCGATGAAGTAACTAGCTAAAGACACATAATCATAAGCTTTCAATTTCACATGTAATACAGGTTTGCAATTATTTTTGTACTCAGTTTATCCTGTCTCACAAGATTCCAAACTTGTATGAACCCCACTGAAAAACTGGAATTTTAATACTAATATTTTGTTTGCAAAGGAAATTCTAATGATACTGTGAAATGTTCCAGTTAGTGCCTTTTTTTCAGTTGTTATTCATTTAAGAATAACTGTGGAGTGCTGAGTTTTCAGAAAGGATAGCAAAGAGGCATGAAGCAAAATAACTTTGCTTGTTCCAGAATATTGGAAACTGCTCTCACTGGCAGTACATGTGCCTATTGACTTCTCCATAGGAGAGTGCTGTACTCATCCTCTGTTTGTCTCTTATTTTATCTGAAACCCCTTCAGATTTGCAGGACAACAATGAAACCAGAGCAGGACAGTGTATTCCTTACCTCTGTCAGTCTTTCACTGAGTGAATTGTCATGGCAATGCCTTCACAACGCTGCCTACCATAGAAAGCCTGTACTGGCTTTTACAGAAAACTGTAGATTAGGAAGTCATTTGAGTTGACACACAAACTGCCATCCATCCTTGAATCAGGATGCTTCGAAGAATTAAATTTGGTTCTACAAGTTGAGCAACAGAGTGTCTTGTGGAACATTTGTGGCTGCCCCAGGAATGTGATGCTTGCATAATGCTTGCAAAGTATTTTAAAGATTGTGGGCCTATCCTGTAGATGGCAGTGTAAAATTAATTACCAAAGAAAATGCTTTTGCTTTTGAAAAAGTGTTTCAAGTCTGATGAATTACACTCCAGATTTTAAAATACTGTTACTATAGGGCTATTTGTGTTATTAGATGGAACCTGACTTATTTTGAGCGAAGTAGCATTGGTCAGAGATGAAGTGTACATTTTCCTATGGAGAAAAGAAATGGCCTCCCACTGATTAAAAGCCCCCAAAAGAATAGTCAGACAGTACATCATTCACCCTGGTATCAGTCTCATCTGACGCAGAATCTGAATCGAAGGACATCTTCATTATGTCAGGCACTGCTTCAGGTAGAAGAACTGGAGTCATTTTACTAGCAGTCAAATCCCCAATATTTCGTGTAACAGCTAATGTCTGAGACCTGCAGAATAAACATTAGGGGAAACTGTATCGATAAAGCACTGCTGAGGAAAAGACCTGAATAATGTCTTGTAGCATGTACTCAGCAACAAGTATCATAACTTGCAAATTGCTTTACAGATATTTACAGCATCTTTCCTGTTAGTTGTATTTTCAAGGACTGCTAAGAGTGAATAAAGACAGGGACCAATCTCAGGGGCAGTTAACTCAGGTTTTTAGAATCACGTGTACAGGTTAAAAGCATTGCAGCTGATGGGATCTCCATATGCTTAACACCTTGAAGAACAGCTCACTTACTTAGAAGCCTGGTTGTGGATTACATATTAAATTTTTGAGTGTCCTATTTTGATCTTGTGGACTTTTAAATTTCTAAACTCATCTGTGTGTTCACTGCTAAACCTAGTTCTCATTTCATTTCACAATATATTTGTGAAAATACTGCCATAACTTCAAAACCAACTCAGGGACTGGTGGCTACTGTCTGCTTTTTCCTGTGCAACTTTTGTTAAAGCAGAATTAAAGAAAGGAGCCTGAAATCATCCAGCTTGATCTAAATTGACTGGTACTCATGGCTTGGCAAGACATCATAGAGAGATACATAGGAAGGTTTGGAGCCTACTTACATAAATGTGTTCAGTACATAGTTTCCAGTGTTGTGGACTCTAAGAGTAGTCAGGATCTAGGATGAGTGGTATAAGGTGCAGCAGGAGACTGAGACTCTCATAGTTAATTATTCTGATTCCCTGGCTCCATACCCGTCATTCTTTGTGGAAGTTGATACAGTGCTGTGATAACTTAGGAATTTTGGTTTAGGTCAGAGAAACATCTTGAATGCTGAACACTTTAGAGGGGTGAAAACCTATTTCCCTCAGCTATTAACATTAACTCTACCTTATTAGCCATTTATCAGTGCTAACATCAAGCTCAAAATTACCCACGTGCTGTTTCTCAAGTATGAAGTTGATCTGCTTGTCCTGGGGCTATCATGGTCTACCAATGGAGGTGGCCTTTTTGACAGTGAATGGAAAGATGGTCCACACGCAAAATGGTCTCTATTTTAATATGGTCTGCACTGTAGTAGGCTGAGCAATTCCAATCTAACATATTTGAAAAATGAATCTGTATTCGTTTGATAGTCCTCTCTTCCTCTTGAAGGCTCCTACCGTGCTGTGTGCACTGTAAAGCACACAATTGCTCTTCATGTGGAACACCTCAATAAAACGTGTGTCACCTGTGGGCTTTGTTTTCTTTTGCATCTCTCTCTATTTTAGATAAGGACATGACAGCAACGCTCCATGCTGGGTGATAGGAGAACCTTGAAGAATGGAATCTGAAATAAAATATTCTCCCTAACAAGCTGAGGGGATAAAAGAAAATACAAATCAACTTGCATTTCAGATGGCTCATCTGGGTAAAGACACAAAAAGGGAAATGGCTTTTATTTTAATCCCATTCAATAATTCAAATGACCACTGAAGTGCAGGCTGGGTCTCCAAGCAGAAAGCCCTGGGGTTTCTTTTCCAATTTTTTTAGTATTTTTTATGCCAATAGTCTACTCCTGCCACCTAATGAAAGTGGAAGATCGATTCCTCCCTGTTGAGCACAGAGCGCCAACAAATGTAGCTGCATCACAGGTGACACATGTCAATGTCTGCAGAATCACACGGCACAGTAAAAATAGGCTACAAGAGCCAGCTCTGGTGCTTTAACAAGAAAAACAGTCACAAAGAAGGCCTAAAGCTATGGTATGAAAGAATCTGTTCTCTCTGATCCCACACAAGGGAGAAAAAAATAAAAAGGAGATTTTCCAATATGTATTAGTGTATTTTTTGGATAAGAGACGAGCTGTGCTATAGTATAAGCCAAATTCACTGCAGGGGTAAGGGACAAGCAATTCAGCTGTGTTGGGCCCACTGATGTTTCAGTGAGTGTGGCCTTACATACATCCCTAACATGAGGGCAGAAGAGCTCAATGTCTGTTTAAAACAAAAAAATCAATGAAAAACTATTTTCCCAGGTTTTAAAGCACAGCATGACATTGTATCTAAATAAATGAGAAGCAAGAGACAATCCTCCAACCAGATCTTTATCTCTCTTTCTGTTGTGGTGAAATGAAAATTCCTGCCTTTCCCACACATCATCCTTCTGATCTTGGTGCAAAGGTGTTATAAAACAGAGACTTGGAGCACCATTTCCATTTTCTTTCCCCAAACACACTGCACTGCCTTGCGAGCTCACAGTATACACTGGCTCTTCAGCGTCTTCTGCTACACATGCTGTATACATGTTGTACACAGTGTTGTAATTTCGTAATTCATCTTTTAAATAAGATGCCCATGTGAAGCAATTTCTGCTTATCCTACAGTTAAAGCAAGAAAAAAGCCCTATGATACAAGCTCTATTCAAGCTTATGTATATACTTCAGTAGCCTGTCATTATGAATATGTGATATATTTTCAAAGTGCATTCTCTGGCAGCTCTCCATATTTATACTTTAATCACAGGGCTCTAATTTTCACTGAAATTTATTTGATTTTTACTTCTTCCTGTAAATTTTATTTAAAATGATGTTTAAGTAGCCATCTGTAGTATACTAAATATTTATGATAAAGAGCCTTAAAAATAACCATTATTTTCAATTAAATTTAAGTTTGATAGGACTGAATTGAAACACATGCTATATATTCTCTCCATGGTATGATTGATTATTATGATCTGATTTTTGCTATAAAGAAAGTTGAGTCCGTAATGTGCAGATCTGTCTTTGGGAATGCAATCTCTCTATCACTAAAGTTTTCATTATTTTTTTTTCTTTAGAGTCTGTGATTGCTCACCTGAGTTTCTCCTCAGCTCCTGAAAATTTATATAAATCCCACTGCTGTGACAGGTTATAACCTGTATGGTGTGTAGGATATAACTGAACTTAATGCTATTGAAGACTGTTTGCTTCCTGCATCTGAATGTGAGAGATGAAGAGGAAAATAATATCACATCCTGACTAGCTTTAATGACATGGTACTATAGAAGGTAACCCAGTGACCATTAAGACAAAATACCCAATACTAAAATATTTTGAACAGAGCTCACAAACAAATGAAAGAGCAATAACTTTCTCGAACCATTTCTTTAAATGGGGAATTTAAAGCTAACAAGGGAAGGTGTCAGAATATCTCTAAAATGTTGAATTCAGTAGGTTCTTTATTCTTTGATGGATCTATGCAAAAGGAAGAGAAAATCTTACGTTAAACTAAAATTTTTGACTCATTCTATATAGAATATATATGTGTCCTTTGTCTATCATGCCTGCTTATTTCTCTTCATACTTTTAACTTTACTTGGTCTTTGATATCCTCAGTGATGTGGTTCAGTGCTACATTCTCTAGTTATTGCTTTGCCTTCACTTGTACTCATTGCTGTTTCATTGCTCTGTGTGGTTTCCACTGACCATTTGTTTTGTAACAGTGTATGGGAATGCTTTTGGAGAAAAATTGGTGGTGCTAAAAGTTAGCTAGTGAGTATTAGCTTTCTCATATACTTGGCGTTATAGAGCTATTTCCAAGTGACTACTTCACTTTATAAATGATAATGCTGTAGGGTCCAGAGCAAGGCTTGGCTGGAACTCATGGACTCCTCTGCTGTAATCCCTTGTGTCTGATACTGACTTGCTTTATGCTTTCTGGCAATGCATTTAACCCTTTTTGTGTCTGATTTATTTCCCCTTAAGTCAATGGAGTCAAAATATTTTTTATGTTGCTTTGCAGGGAGGACCCTTCTGCTAACATTTGTAGCTCTGCTTGAGGCTCTAAAGTCCGTATCAGTGTTCAATATTCTCATTTCAGTTCAGCATCCTTATCGAGTTCATTAATATCCGCCTCACCCTCAACAACAGTTAGAGCTAGTGAGAGCTGGTGCCTGCTGTCCCTGCTGACCTTGGGAGCAGATTGTCCTGGTCTTCACAAGAAACTGAACAAAACTTTTGGGCTGTGGTGCCCCAGCAGCTTACACACAGCTAACTTTTGCTCTATGAGCTGCCAAAACACTCCCTCCTCTGCACAGAGAACCTGATTATAATCACATTTGATGGAATGGAGGAATCATTTTAGGGAAGAAGATGAGATGTCCAAATCCCCGTTGAAGGGCAAGGGAGAATAATGATTAGCCTAACTGGTGGCTAAACTGAGGAGACCTGCAGAGCTTCTCTGGGCCAGCAGCCATGAATGTTAATTGCAGCTGGATGAGGCAACTGAGCTCTTTTGTTACGGCTGTATTCCTAGAGCAGAAACTTGTTAACATTTCTGTTGATTGTATAATAGCTGATTTCTGTTGTCAGTGATGCTTTTTCCTTTGTGATGAATTTTTGGCTTGTCTTTCTCAGTATTTTTTTTTTGTGTGTGTGAAGGTTTTCTAAGCTTTGGTCTACTGCTTTGATTCCTTGGACATACTCTTTCTGTTTCCTCCCTCTCTTTGTGCTTGTATTTCCATCTGTTTTCATTTGTTTGGCATCTGGTTACAACAGTTTTCCAGAGTGTATTGTAATTGCATGCACTGATAATAAATCAAGTAGACTTAACAGGTAAGAAAACCAAATGGCAGCCACAGGGAAACAAGTTAAAACACAAGAAATACCAAATCCTCTATGCTTCAAGGCATCAAATGCAAATATATATAGGTTATCCGTTATAACTAATATGATTCAGCTGTTTTACACCCTACCTAGTGTCTCCAGTCCAAATACACGTATTGGGATAGAAATTTGGTGCCATTTGTGTTTCAAATAGCTTATGGGTCTCAGCAACTGAGAAATGGTTCTAAAGAAGATTTTCAGGTGAAGACCACATGAAGTAATGCATATTTTCAAGCAAAGCTTTGGTACATGTCACTTCATTTAAAATAGATAATCTATGCCAACCATTGCCAGTTACCCAAGCTGTCAGTCAAAGACAAGATCTCTAAGCAAATAATCTGTTTTATTTGGGAAGAGTCTGCATGGCTACATAGAAAGATAGTATGTGCTATGTCTTACCTTACAGTAATTATGTTAGTCTCATCTTTACATGGTGGAATTTCAATTTTGATATTTTTTTCCTTCATATGGACAGTGGCAACAACATTCACAGGTACATGAGCATTCACTTTCATGTGTGCTTCCAGCCCTGCCTGTATCACCTGTGTGTTGATGCCCATTACAAAGGTCATCTCCTTAGCCATGCTGAAAAGATAGAATGAGGGTAAAATTATGTTCAGATAGCAAACAGCTGTTGTATTTTTCTGGCCTCTGTCACTTAGAAATATTACACTATTATTTTATACTAAATATTTACCTTAGACTCATTTTGGATCGCAGCCTAATGTTGGCATTTAGTAACTCAGACAATCTGAAATCAGACTTTGGAGAAGGTGTGATCTGTGCTTGAACTATTACAAAGAAAGAAAAAAAAGCGTTAAACATCTTCCCCGTTCCTGACAAGCATGTTTGCATTGCTCAAGTCTTGAAATACGTTACCATTTCCTGCCACTTTTGTGACAGAAGAGTAATAGAAGCTGGTCTCTGTCGGGAACCCAGTGCAGGTGGGCACGATATGACGGATCTCAGAGGACAGTAAAGCCTTGGTCCACTGCCTCCCTACACCACTTTGAAGGCTACTGATTATTCTCCTTATCAAAGGGATTTTTTCGTCAGGTCCATACCATGCCTGCAATTACAAAGTTCAACTTTTCTAAATAAGCAGAACTTAAATATCATGATCTGTGTCATTAACTATGCCTCGGGGGAAAGTCTGGCAGCAATGATTATAGCTAATCCTGATCAAAGCTTGACCTTATTTGCCTTGATTAATACTAAAGACAAAACCCCCTCTTGAATTAAAAAGTTTTAAAAAGGGAGAAAATGTGTGAAAGTAACACTGTTTTAAAGCTTTTGATGCTTGGGTGATGTAATTTTCAAAATGATACCTGCAATGCATTTTGGATGGCAATTTTATCAAGTCCACCAAAGAACAACTCTTGGCCAAACATCTTCACGTAGCCTGATGCAAAAGGTTTGTCACTGGAGAATGCCTTCCAGTCAGAGAGCTGCATGAGAAGAGGAAGAAAGTCTGATTCTTTGTAACATTTGAGGAAGAAATATCTTAGAGATTTTATTTTCCCTGAGAATTTACCGTTTTTAGGATTTCCTTGAAGTTGTAGTCCGTCTCCCAGACCCTGTCAGGAGAGTAAGGTTTAGCAAACATCTCCTGCAGTCCTTCAACTGTTATTCCCACCTGTGGGAAGAAGTAAAGTGTTAATGCCAATTGGATGATGGTTGTAAGAAGAGATGAGAGGGAAAACTGCAGATAGACCCAATTACCTCCAAGGGATCAGCCACTCTTCCGAGAAAATGGGTCCGCAGCTGGGACATTGCCATCGTTGGAATGAAGCTGCCTGCATTATTCAATACCAAATATTTAGCTGCCAGTCCACTCATAAGGAACTCTGAAGAGAAGTAGGCAGTAAAGAATGGCACAGTTAGTATTTAAAGCCACAGTGTGAAGACTGTATCAATTTACTAATTGCATAATTCAACTGATATAGCATGCTATGAGAAAGACCAGAAAACCCAGCTATAAAACTGATGTTATAAACCAGTCATAAACAGAATATTCTGCATTTTTAAACTATTAATGGGCAAAATTACAAGCTCCTTGCTCACTGCATGGTGGTTATGCTCTTTTTCCAATTGCTTCTGCTATATTATTTACATTCAGTCAGATTCCATAACTTCAGCTTATGAAATGCTTTTATAAGACATCATTTAGGGCAACTTGACAAAGGGGATTAGAAATGAAAACAGATTTGCTATCCTTTGCTAATAGTTTAGGGAAAGTGATATAGATGTCCTATAAGGACAGAAGGTGAGGTGTAGATTTGTCTCTCAAATGATTCAGAGGCAATTTAATACATCTAGTACCAAATGCTGTAACTCCTTACACGAAATACACTAATTGTTAAGTAATTGTTAACTATTGAGTGAACTTTGAGCAAGCATAATTTGTGGCTATTTATATTCTCTACTTTAGACTTAAGATAATCAGTGCAGAGCACAGTCATGTATTCTTCCCAAGATTGGCACAGGTCTATGCAGTCCTGTTTTCTGAGTTAAAGTAATCCCCAAGGGTTTTCTAAGTTTCCTTAGGTTTCAAGAAGAACCAGGATGACATGATATATAGATATCCCTGTCATATTTCTCTTCTCTTCCTACACTAGTTGGAGGACAGGAAGTGTTTTAGGAGTCCCTATGTTACATTTCTGCCATCCTCATGTTAGACAAAGGCACCATATACTGATTAAATCCCAGCACCACCAGAAATCAGCTTTGGAAATCCAGTACAGCCCTGGATGTTCCAAACCAATAATTTTCATACCTGCATACAAATTATTGATGAATTGTAGGAAATATATTTTCAAACATTATGAGAGGGAGTGAGTCTTTGACTTCTTTCCAGAAAAAGAGTGCTTAAATTCTCAAAATTATTTATTATTATTATTGCTTGGTTCACAAATGTGGGTGTTATGAATACTCATGCCCATATTACTTCTTTAGTGGCACTTTCGGTGTTTCAGATATCTCACTTGTGAGTCAACATTTCCCCATTCTCTTCTGAATCTGTGCATGCAGACAGGGATCTGGATGGTCCCTCATTTGCTCCTCATGCTAAGTTTTTTCATACCAGATTGCTGGGACTAATTTTGATTTCTAATTTCTCAAGACAGAGTCCAACTTTTCATGTATTTGAGAAACAGTCTGTTGGAAAAGCAATCCACTTCATCTACTAAATCTGTATGAACTGGCATTTCACTACATTACCTTCACTGTTTTGCTATATGAAGTTTCTGTGCTACCCAAAGTGCTATGCACTAGCTACCTACAACATATGTGGTTCAGTAACAGGTCCCACAATCAAAGTACAGATATTTATGCAACCCCACTGATGGCAGAGGAATCAGTAGAGAACCTCAGCAGATAGCAAGGAAAGATGACAAAAGCTCACATTTTAATGCTGATCCTATAGAAAAGAAAAAGCACAGTGATGCCACACTGAGACATTACGAATAAGCTGCCCTGAGACTTGGAAATGTGAAGACTAGTTTTTCTCTGAATGAGATTAGTGAGAATGTAGGTGTTACATAGTCTGGACACTAGAATGAGGCATGGTGCTTTTAACTGAATTTGTTAAGGCTCTTTATTGGTGTTCTAACTTACAAAACCTGATAGTTAAAAAACCCCATGGTACTTATTGATATTTAGTAAGAAGTGTGCTCATATATCATTAAATGATTGTACAGAATTCATTGACTTGAAGAGAGCAGGGATATTTTCCATACCTCAGGCATTACACAGTGCTAATGCTCTAAGAAAATACTTACCAATGGAAAATTCTACTGACACAATCAGATGATGCACTGTAGCCACTCCCCTGTGAGAGTGTGATGGCACCTGCATATATCTGACTAACTGTCTTGCCCCAAAGAAGAGGGAAAGAAAAATCAGTGATCAAAGAAAGCAGTCTTTGGTACCTATGAACATTAGTAACATATTTAACTATATGAGTCTGTGCATATTGAGAGTCTTCACATTGAGTGGAACTTGGGTCATACCTTTGATTTCCATAGCAATATGTAGAGCCATGTGTGACAGGTTCCAGAATAGTGATAGATTCATCTGACATTATTGCCTGTCATTAAAAATTCAGCATCTAGCACCACAAAGATCTGTGATGCTGAGGGCACATTTTTGTTTTTTAGCAAGGAAATAGGTACTGCATTACAGCCGTCACTATGGTAACTCCTCTAGAATGGACTCACTGAAACACATTTCACCTGTGGCTAGTGGTAACAAATCAAATCAGAAAGCTGGAGGATGGATCCTCCTCCCACACCAGCGTAATAGAGGATTGACTTCATTTAGCTGAGTTATCCAAGTCTAAGATTAGCATGTGTGAGAAAAGGATCTTGTTCTTATTCTTCAGGAGGAGAGGTTTAAATATTACAGATGCATGGTAACCAAATTTCTGACAGTGGTCTTCACCAAGAATTAACAGCAATTCTCTGATGTGCTGCATTTCCAGGCTATAGCCAGAACAAAATAATTCACTTCACATAGCCCTCTGCCAGCTACCCTCATGTGTATTGCACCCTTTTTTCTCACCGTGAAAATTCAGATAGCTTCATTTTAAAAGCAAAAATTAAGAGGAGAAAATAAGTACCTAAAATTAGAAAGACATATCTGTACATTGCCGGAAAATGTGTCTCCTTGAATCTATTTTAAATGGTACAAAATTTCACACAGTCCATATTAGTGACTATTTCTTTAGGCACTCTGTCTATCTCTGAGGCAGTGAGCATGTGTGTCATTTATTACTGTGGTTGCTGTGGTATGTATTACATTTATTTTTATTATAGAGCAGATCAAATGTCATGCAAAAATCATGCAACAAGGGCATGGAAACAATAAGATCTACAAAAGTCTTTCAAACCACTCTCCCCCTCCAAAAAGAAGGCAAAAGTACACCTAGCACTGTGGATTTCAGATGTTTCAAAATCTCTTTTTCTATTGATTACATTGAAAAGAATCTTTACATGTGCCAGTGAATAACAAAAGTGCTAAAAACATCCAAGTCCTCCTAGATAAACAGCACATGTAAGGAAACTGTGTTTGTAGATATAATCTCCCTAGTCTGCCAGCTACACATGCCAAATCACTGAGGCCGTCATGGTCATTTGCATAGGGGAGCTGCTTAAAAAAAATCTCTACTGAGAAAAATAATGTACATGGAAAAGTAGAAATAGCAACAATTTGGCCCAGCAAGACCTGTCTTCTAATCTGGTCATCCCGCTCTGACTACATTTTTATGTGCAACTATCATTGATAGAACTGGCCAGCCTTCAGATCCCATGGATCTGCTCATTTCAGTTAAGAATCCTGTTAGGAAGATACAAGAAAAATTTTTATACAATAAGCCTGAGTTAGTTGCTTATGGGTGCAATGAATTGTCACATCTGAATGTTTTCAGAGTTTCCTGTTTCACGGGTCACTACTGTTGGGGTGAAGAGTATTTAGCATCACATTTGAATTCAGCAAGAGTTGTAGGTGTTGAGCACCAGCAGAAATTAATCCACTTCAGCAGTAATTTAGGTCCCTTCTGTTTGTTTGGTGCAGAACAATGGTATGAAATTGTTAAGCACCACTGAGACTACAGCATTTGATACAGGAGCATGTGCTTCACCAACTAATGAAAATGGAGGGTTAGAGCCCCACAAGCCCTCTGGTAATTTCATGCTGGCAGTGTAAAACACAAAACACACAGGGACCTAAACACTCTCCAAATGGAGAGCCTGGGATTTTTTTTTTTTTTTTTCACTGAACATAGGAGAATATGGAGGAACAACATGAAGCTCACCAGCTGGCTAGGAGAATTGGGTTCTCATACCAATATTTTTTTTTTTTTTCACACATTGACCTGTATATATTCCTCTACAAAATCTTCTGAATCTTACCTTTAAACATACTGAAGCGGAACACCTTGCTGAATTGATATCCAGATTTGTCAAATTTGGGACTTAATGCTCTGATAGCCATTCTGCAAGCAGAAGCCCTGAAAAAATTTGGTGAGCACATTAACACTTCAGTTAGCTTGCAACAAGTTTTTTATCTAGGGAAGGGATCCATATTTTCCTTACGTTGCTTGAAGATCTGGAGCTGTGCTTCTACCCAGGGCTCTCAGGTAGGAATAGATGAAACTTGCCACTTGCATGCTAGGTTCCTTCAGCACAGCATCAGCTAGTGTCATCACTATTGGAAGACCTGGCTTGGTTTCAAGCAAAACCACTGCAGCTAACATTCGGATCCGAGGATTAATTTTGTGATTCAGGAAAATCTCAAGGGTAATAGCCTGGACCTGAGAATAATAGATACATTCAAATTTACAGGATTTTTGAACATTTTGCTAATAACCATTCATCACTGGTGAATGATCTCTTCATCACTAGTACAGTAAAAATTTGTATTATTTAATTATTACAGCAACAGTGTTCCTGGTTTCATAGTCTGAGGGCTGGAAGGGGCATTATGGTAATGTAGTCTGACTTCCTGCACAATCAAAGTGAAGGAACTTTGCTGGATAACTTCTATATCAAGTCCATTATTGCTTTTTGAGCTATAGCAAAATATATCTGCAGCATAACCACTCCAGGTAAAAGAGATTTCATGGATCCATTACACACCTAAGAAGTGGTTTCAGTGACCACTTATCCCTACCCATACAGGTATGCCTTATTTCTAATCATTTGATCTCCTGGGGCCCTTTCTGCTAGATAATAAAATAAAAATGAAATCCTGTTTACTACCAGAAATCTCTATGCCATCGTAGGCAGCTTAAAACCAGAAGTTTATGCAACAAATGTAATTTCCACAGTACTACTTGTGACCAATGTGTTTGACCTTAGCAGTTCAGTATCAACACCAATTTTGTACTGGAACCTTTGTGGTTTCTGTGAGCTACACTGAAGCTTTTGACCCCGATTTCAAAATGGATGTGGATGGTGCAACACCATGCTGGCAGCCCCTTCTGCACAGTCCTGTCCTGCTTGGGACAGTGCACATCCACCTTCTCTAATGAAAAACTGATCCACAAAACTTCAACAACACCCTGATTAGTTTTATTAATATGAATATGTTGCTTGTCAAATACCAATCTAAAAGTGGTGAAAAGAATGCAGTAGTTTCTTTCTAAATGCAACTACCTTTTCAAATTGAACAATAAAAAAAGACAGATCATGTATTGAGTCTGTTTAATGCAAATATGGGTGTGTAGCTATCTGCAAGCCAGGCATTAAACTAGTTTTTGAACAATGAAAATTCCAGTCACAGTCATTAAAGTGCTTCAGATCAATTTTCCCCAAAGAAAATGCATAAAAAATTGAACTAAACAGTGGTCTGGGTCACATGTGGAAAGCCAGGCTAAAGGGCAATCAGAGATGCAGCACTGTTTTCAAACACTAAATTGGCTTTTTTTCTTCCCCAGCAAATACCTTAACTCCTACCCTTGCTATTCGCTCCTCCTGCCCTGATTTTCCCCATCTAGCTCCTGCATTCTAGTAAATTGTTTCTTTATTCTTTTGCTTAAAAGCATATCGCAGCACACTATTGTCCGTGGATCAATATGTGCATTCAAACTGGGAGTCATATGCAAAAAATAAGTATAATGGAAAAACTGATAGAGATTAGTCAGAGAATAGTTAATGAAAGCTTTTATTTTACTTTTTGTATTAAGAATAGACTTATAGAAATAAAAAAATTCAATATTGGGAAAAAAATCTTGAAAATGGAAGGTTTCTTTTTAGAAGCAGATTGCTTTAAGATGCAAATGATTGTAGTGATGTCTGTGGTGGATGAGAGTATGCCTGTGTAACCATTGTATGAGATATGTAATCATTATCTTGTTCAGGGACAAAAGTCACATTTAGTAAATGTTCTGTTTATGACTTAAACCCACACAATGTCTGTAAATTTGTAATTAGGATGCAAACATCTAGTATCTATTTACAATAAGATCTGGTCTTGAATTACGATTAGATGTGACACTTAGTATTAAATGTCAATTCTCTGAAAACCTTGTTTTGTGGTTCTCTCACATACCAAAGTTGAAGTAGCACTAAACACATTTTGGTCAATAATTTAGCTTTCTGTCTAATGTCCTTGGAAAATAAATGTTTGCAATGGAAATACTGATTTGCCTTCAACAACAGGGTAATGAATATGTCCCTTTAATGGGATTTTTGTTGCAGTCTCAAATACTAGAGGTTAATGTCAAAAGGAATAAGACATGCCAACAAAGGAGTGGTTAAGTATTTTTGAAACAAAAGCCATATTACAGCATATTTTTCAAATATATTTGAAAAAGAAGGTATGCTTTCTCATCATCAATTAGCAGCCTTGTGTTGGGTTATCACAAATGCAAAGGAAGCAGCTTTGTCTCCTTACCATTTTTGGGTCTTTCAGACCTATGTTTTGCAGGGCCATCACAGCAGTTGCATGGACCTTGAGTGGCAAATCTGAAGCACCAGCTGCATATCCTGGCAAAAATTTCTTGATGTGCTTGATGCTGGCTGGATGTCCTACATTCCCAAGGGCTTTCAAAGCCAGGAAAATTTCTTCTGTGTTAGACTTGCTCAATGCCTCTCCTGCAAATCCATGAAGTAGCTGAAAAAAGAAAACAAATCTGTTGAGTTCAATTCCAGCTCTTATCTATCTCCCATCCCCCAGCCTATTCTGAGGTTTGACTTTGATAATTTCAGATTGTTCAATTCGCTTATTTTAAATATTTTCAAATTCTTTTTGTCCTCATGAATAGGACATTTTATTCATAGAACAAGCACAGCCAAGAAAGCTGCAATGAAAAGCTCTCTCATCACTATACCTTACAGTTATCAAGTAAGATTTTTAAAGGAAAAAATAATGGCTAGCAGCTAGTTCCCACTGCCTTTCAGGGTGAGTTGGGAACCCTGCAATAATGCTGTTTGAATATCTCTGTCTCATGGTTGAAGACAGGTGCAAATATGCAGATACAGTTAAATTCTTCAAGCCCTTAAATAAGATTCCTGAAGGTATGGTTAGTGGTGGTGCCCTTAACTTCAGCTATGACAACCACTTTTTCGTGTGGATTAATAGCTGCCAATGCGATCGTCAGGTCATTTTACAGCCTTTGTCATAAGCGACTAGATCACACTTATGTTCATGTGGTGAGATTAGAAGTAGTTGTCTGAAGGTTGAATATGAGAAAATAACGAAATCCTAATAGATAACTGTTTTCAGTGCTAACAAATGGCTCTAAGCAAAGAAACTGATATGTTATGGAAGAATTTCAATACAGTTCCCATGCTTTAAAATATCACTTTTGAGATCCACTGATGATGCAGAAACAGTCTATTTGATATTACTAATCAAATGAATGGACATTTGAAATGCACTGAATAAGCTTATAGCATCACTTGTTTGGGGAAAAAAAAATCTTTTCCTGGCACTGGGCTACTCAGCTTTAATTAGCCCAAAAGCATTGGCAGCAATCACAACACAGGAGATGTGGGCCATGTCTGTGTACTACGGGAAAAAAATCATGGCAGGCACACAGTGTATTGTGAACTCCCTGCTCTTACTGGGGATGGTGAACTGACAAGTGTCTAAGACTGAAAGCACCTATTTCTCTTTTCCTCTCTATCACTGTGATAGACTGATCACTATCAGAGTGGCTGACCTTTGTAAACCGTGACATGCATCCCTACAACTAGGAAATGCTAGTTACTGCCTATTTAAATTGTTTTCAGGCCCACTGATTAAAAGCAGTGCAGAACAAAGAGGGTATTACTATTATTAAAAGCTTACAGTCTATGTAGATGATTGGGCTCTGCTTCTGATTGAGAAATGGCTGGGCTACATGACTTTGGGCAAAAACCTGAGCTTTTGTGTCACTTAGTTTATTTATAAGTGTATATAAGTACCTATATTTAAAGTATTTTAGAGCAGTGCCATGGGACTTCATTAATAATTGGCAATAAAGCACTCAGAGACACTCAGATAGAAAGTGCTACACGTTATATGCTTCTTCCTCTCACTCTCTTTCGTGTGTTAATCTAAAGATAAAAATGCTGCATTTAACCAACTGGGGTTCCTTTCCCCAAAGGAAACACGGTAGAGAACTGAAATACAGGTTTCTGAATAATGAAGAAAGAATTCAAGGCTTAATTTTCCTTTTAAACGATAAATAACAATGTGGTTACCTGGAGACATTCAGAGCAGGAGTCTGATGAAGAGCACTGTTTGTGGCACAATGACGCATAGCTGAGATGGCAAACCTTTCCAAGTACAGTACTTGAATGTGGGCAATGCTTTTTCATGATGAGCTGGTGAGAAAGCAGTTGTTTGTTACTACCATTAATGAAGAGAAACAATATGTTTCTGCCAAATGCAAGACAAAAGCAGGTTTTTGATATTTTTGTATCTATGGAGTTATAGTTAATCAGTGGCTATTACTGTATTTGACAATGTAATCATAAAGTAATTCCAAGTAACATCTGGAAGGCAGATCCATTGCTTTAATAGTGTTTCAGATTTAAATTTGGCATAGGCTATAATCCAAAGGGAGGAAATCACCTAGTTATGGAATGGAAAAACACACGTTATTCAAGAAACATTCATCATTGCTTTATAATTGCCTCAGCTATAGGTACAAAATACGTTAGATAAATTGTGAATGGACCTCAGTGCTTTGGGCAGACAGGAATATTTCGTATAAACATCGGAGCTGACAGGAGGCACCAGCCCACTGCTTCCTTCAGTGGGAAGCAGAGCATTACTGTACAGTTAACAGCCGAGCTGTCACGGCTTTTACAGAGGGCAAAACTAGTCTGAGATTTGTGGTCTCTACCTAGGGTAGGCAGAGATAAGCTCCTGCGTCCGAGACTAAAATTAGATGCTGCAGAAGAGAAAAAAATTGTAAAAATCATTAGACTTTCTCCTATGTGGTCTCCACATTGGCACAATTCCCTTGATTTTGATAGATCTGCACTGATTTATACCCATCCTGCTAGGTCAATCAGGACAAATACACGGATATAACAAATACATATTTATTGCTCCCTAGTCTTTGTAGATACTTAGTTAGAGATTTAATCTGATGTAACTATAAAGTATGTTTGGACAAAGGGAGACTAGAAACCACTGTTTGCAGCAATATCCTCTGTCTCTGAGAGGTATTTTACTCTTTCTTTCCTGCTTTACTCTGGATTAATTTTTGGCCCTTGATTTGCATTCTCCTCCCCTTAAGACAGTCAGGAAATAAACTCCTTTTAACCCCACTAGAGGATACAAACCCTTTATATTTTCAAAGCCTTTGCCATCTTGTCACAGGAATAAATACAACAGATGCTAAAATAAGTAAGGAGTGATTTGAGAGCGTTTAGAGAATCCTACCGTTGCTTCCTCCATCACATCCCGAGTTGGCGTGCTTGAGTGCAGAGCCACAAGTACTGTCTGAGCTGCTTCCCAGTTGGTGAGTTCTTGCCTTTCCATTTTATGCCTCAGGAACCTGAGTGCACGGTGACTGGAAACTGCAGGAATTATATCCAAAATGTAGCGCCTGTAATTGGAAAGGGCCATTTTTCAGATCTGCATTCCAGATGGTGTCCAACAGAGTTCAGCAGCAGAAGAATCACCAGTTGTATTGCTTATACCTGTATGCTGGCCGACTCGAGAACTGCTTCCATACCGACTCGTAATTCTCCTCATTTGCTACACGGAGGAGGTGCATAAGCTTGAGGACTTTCGCTGGTGCATCGCTGGGAAGCTGTTCAGGTGTGGTCTCTACTAGGTCTTGCAGGCTTTCCTCTATCTGCAGGAAGATTAAAATGCAGGAAGCTCACATGCACTGTTTCCCACATGCACAGATTCCAACCTCCAACAAAGAGTCTATCCCATGGCTGAACATTACCTGGCTTTCCACATCTTTTATTCTGAATAAATGGACAGGAAGCTGAAGCAATTCACTGCCAAACTGGTACTGAAGTGACCCACGATTCTGGAATTCTTTTGGTGGGACCTCTGCCATGTGCTTCTGCACATCAGTCAAGACAAGTTTCTGCCTGGAATGGAGAAACCCAGGGAGATAACATCACAAGTTGTAGGGTACAAACTAAAGAGAAAACAGCAATTCTGCCTCCCTGCATTGCAATACACCTACAGTTGTTTCAAAAGGGTTTTGTTATTGAGGGGCAAAGGTATTTACAAACAGATATATTTGGACATGATGCTCAGAACTGTACTCTGAGAAGGCATGCACTTACACAGCTGGGCTCAGATCGGAGGCAGCCTTTGCCTTCCTTTGAGAATAACGTGGCTTGAGAATTTAAGGAAGAAGTGGGAGGTGAGGAGCGGTGGACTGAAGATCACAGGAACTGTGTGTTGTGTCTTAAGGACTAAAGTAAGGATTATAGAAAAATAACTGAATGAAACTTTATCGGAAATTGTCACAACTTAAAGATTTTTAAGAACTTCATAAAAGATTTTAAATGTTTGTGCCTCCTGGAAGCTTCAAAAGGAATTGAAAGTTGTTGGATGTAATACGAAAATGCTACAATCTTTTTACATGTATTATTACAATTCCCTCCCCATTTTGCCTGGCAAGCTGAATGTCCTGGGGACTGCACAAGATAAAAGGTTCTCATGAAGTTCCAAATTGGATTTCCCAAACAAAAAGGGCCAGATAAATTCAGGATTAGTCTTTGGAAAAGTAGACAAGTTTTCTGTAATTTTTCAAGAGGCACCTTGAAATCATCCTTTGTTATTAAGAATAATTCCAATGAGAGATTGTCTTTGTAAACATTTGCTGTCTTTGTTACATGTTCAGATAAAGGGATGCATCCTATTCCATCAATTATGTTTAAAATAGGTCATTTAGGACATTTAGGACATTATATTAAAGTTAGGCATTTGTACTGAACAACTGAAAACATTCCAAAAGCAATATTGCTGTAATATAGTATCTCAAAATCTCTGTAGAAAATTGGTGTGTTTATTTTGGAATCTTTGTGATGATCTTCTGTATCATTTCTATCCACTCCTTCCATATGGATTACAGAGAACTGCTGCAGAAAATAGCATATAACTGCTTTTGCAGACAAGCCACTGGAATTTGAATAGAAATCGCTACAGAATCAGCAGAGATTTTACTCTCTCAAAATTTTATACAACATTATTGAAAGGGCATTTGGGTCAGAAAGTATAACATCAGGTACACTTGAACAGATTTAACTCCTCCTTCCAGAACATGATGAATCTATTATGTCTTCACCTTCATCATTTTGGGAAGAGATATATCTGCCTAGAATAGATGGGAAAATGTTATATTCTGAAGAGAAGAGCAAATCAATACTAAAGATAGGATTAAAATGGTGAAACAATAGGTGCTGCAAGAGGCTTATGATGAACAGGTCTGAAATCTCAGCTCCAAATGTTTTAAGTCCTTGATGATAGTTGTTTTGGGTTTTTTTTTGGGTTTTTTTTTGTTTTTTTTTTTTTTAACACAGTGCATTGTGGAAATATCTTCTGAAGAACTAGGTGACATATGTACATCTTCCCACCACTTCTGAAGAATTAGGTGACATATCCACATTTTCCCATCTATCATATTTCGCCCCTTCTGTTTGACAATGCAAAAGAACCATAGAAAATGGGAAAAGTAAAGGCACGAGTCTTTCTGAGGGCTCAGTACCTGAGGAAGAACAGTAAGGAAGACAGGCTATGTGGGCTTGCAGAAGGAGAATTTAAATTAGCAACAGTCCATTGGCTCCAGACTAATGATCACTCACAACAACTTATAATTTGATAAAAGCAGTGCAGTTGTATCTATCTTCACCTTATTGCATAACATAGTAAAGCCACTTTCACCTTTACTGTTCTTTTGTTTGGTTGGTTTTGGTCAGCCAAACTGAACATGTTCCTCGTATTAATGATGTTAATTAGTGATTTATTGACATGAACTTTCTGATGTTGCAGTTTCCAAAACTGTATGTTATACCAATAGATTCCTGCAGAAGCTAATGGAGCAACGCAAGATTACAGCAGTTGAAGAGCAAGATTGAGGTATATCTTCTGTACAGCAAATTTGATGCAAAAAGCTTCCCTCTTCATTAGGGCACTCCTGTCCGCAGAGTCTATCACTAAAGCAGGTGACTAAAATTTGTTTCAATAGATGATTTTGATGCAGATGAAAAACTTTTCAAACACTGAAATTTTGGGGGCTTGAGCTAAAGATGAGTCAGGGGATAATTTCTTAGACAACCATATTCTCATTTTACCCTAAACTTGTTTAAGAAATATGCAAAATTTGCTGTGGAAAAGAAAATACATCAAATACATTTTAAATGCTTTGTGCCCAATCTTTTTGCAATAAACCCCAATTTCCTATCACAAAAAAGTTTTGATGGGGGATTTTCAAGCAGCCCACTGTATTTAGGAAGTATATCGGAATCCAAAGTCCTATCTAGGTTCCTTGTGAACTAGTCTCCAGGGTCTCTTACTGCATTATTATTTTCCAGGGAACTCTCTTTCAGATAGTAACTGTCTTTCAAAGTATTTTACTGCAAATATATTAGTTCACAATTTTTCAGATGGAATTACATTTGTTTTGGCTTTTATGACATAAATCAAATATCCCTGAGAAATAAAATAGTCAAACCCTGCCAAGTTTAGCTAACAAAATTGGGATAGTGATGTGCATGTTTCAGATTTACAACTAACAGTGAAGGTTGTTTTTATGAACTGTTTGGGATTTTATGTAATTAAATACTGGCAAACAATGGGCTGTGGGGATTTATTTCAGTTATAGAGTTTGACCAGATTACTGAGATGCTGAGTTAGTTGCTGGATTAAAGGCGTATGTACAATACCTTGCTTCTACTATAGCATTTCCTCCTGTTATCTCATTGAAGGGCGCAAACTGGTGGATTTCCTCAACATCAGCTTGTGTAATTACAGCTTCATTACGTGTATATTTAATTTTATAATTGTAAGTAGCAGTTGTCCGGGAATTCTTGTTTCTCTTTATAATATAAAAAAGGCAAACAAACAAAGAAAATAGAAAGTCATTGAACTTCTAAAGTCTGTTACTAGAAGCTATTACATCACACACTTCAACCCACTTATTTTTCAGGGTGTTTTTGTTCACTGGCCACATGAGCGGTTGATGTGAATTCTGTGTATGCACTTCCATGGGAGAGGTCAGGCAACTGCCTGGCTCTGTTACTTTTACTGCTAAGAAGTGTTAGCTTGTTTTTCCCTTTCCCAAATATAAGTAATTGGTTATTCCCTTGAGAAGGAGACACGTTTTCTGAGCAGAGCAGCAATATAAGCCACATGCTTTCTTATTTCAAAGATGGGATTATAATAAGATGCATCAGTACCTATCTTGGATAGCAGAAACTGGACATCATGACTATCATTTTTACTCAACAGAGTAGGTGTATTAACTCATGCTGATAATTAATGGTTTCCAAGCCAGCTAGTTTGAGCTAGCTGAAGTGTGCCTGCAGTACATGACAGTCTACAGCACAGACCTCTGCTGCTCTGTGGACCTGATTTTCATTCAGAAAGAAAACGTTGATAACTAGATACAGCCGATCTGACTCTTCTCTCAATCTAAGTGTTACAAAGCAAGAGCTAGCATGGATGCCAAATGGCTTTCTGTATAAGAATATAAAATACATAACATAATACCCCTCTCTCTTAATTTACCTGCTGGCAGGTCTGGCATGGGTGAGTGTATGCTGAACCTGTGACCATTTGAACTTTCTCTTCACAACTGTTCAGGTCTTTGGATTTGGTCACATAGACTAGGCTTGCTTTCTTGTTTTCCTGAATTGCATACGTTGTGTTACAAATACCTCCAATCCCAGCCTAGCAAAAATAAGAACATTATCAGAGAAGTTCACTCTTATGCAAAGCTTCATCAGTTCCCCAAATGGACTTTCCTGTTTAATTATGTATTTTGCAAAATTTCTGATAGAAATGAATGGGGTTTTATTCATGGTACTCTCCAGAAGCAAAATCAGGATGGACGTTACTTCACCTCTTATTTACACGTACAGGTTTCCAGTAAGCCAAATAAGAGTTTCACTGAAAGGACTAAAATTCTCGAGTTTCACCGAGACAAGATTTGGAGTCTCAGAAAGAGTAACAATTTCCAGTTAGAGCTGTCGATTATGGAATAGATTTGAAGAATATTAATAAAAAGTGCCAAAATAATTTGATCAGTCAAAATAAAATCTCAACAGAAAAGTGTTTTAAGGTTGGAGATGACATTCTGCCCTTAAAATTTGCTTTTATAGACAGCTTATAAATGCCTATGGAACAGGCCTTGCAATATCAGATGATCTGTCACAATATGAAGAGCAATAATTAAAAAGAATTTCAGGATAGCAGAGTTGGTTTTCTTGAGTTTGCAGTTTTAGCTCAGATCTTCAATAATATTTCAAGCATATATATTTATAAGAGCTCTTAAATTTCCTCAGTCAGTGAGGAGACTTTTGGAGAGGAAAATATTTGATTGCATTTTAGAAGGAAGGGTTATTTTCATGATTTTTTTATTGTTATTGATAGCATAGCCATTCCAGAGAGCAGCTCTGGGCTATGTCAGAACAGCAAAATGGTCATGTGGTGGTTAGGAGGCAAGACATACTCACTTCATCTTCATCTTAACCGTATTCCTGAAGACACTGTGTCTTCAGTAAGGGCTAGAAATAAAAATTGCCCAAGCTTTCTGGAAGACCTGTACTCTGCAAATATGGGTGTGGGGCTCCTCTGCAGACTGCAGGGTGTGGTAGAGACATCTAGACTTTAAATAGGAACGTCCAGCCCACCCGGCTCAGTGGGATGAAGTAGCCTGCCTAGCTGTACTTTCTAGCTGCGTGCAGGCCACAGCTAGCTTGGATACCCTTACTCTGCACCCTGCAGGGTGTCATGTAGACTTTCCCAGGTTAGTCCTTTAAAACCTCTCTGTAGCTAAAATTTTAGGACTAGTAACACTTATCTTCCTTTACAGAGTGACTCAAGATTGTCAGGCAAAGGTGCCAATGCTCATTAATCAGTTGCTATCTGAGAAAAGCAAAGAAAACTTGGAAATGATTCTAAGAGGTGAAGTCACATATACTTGCTCAGCAGTGAGAGCAGGACATATTGCTAACTGAATTAGAAAGAATGAAGATGTAAAACTAGATATGAGAAAATAGCACTGCAGAATATGCAACACCACCACCCAGGTTTTTATGCGCAAAAAGCAGCATGAAAATATTAAATCATGTAGTTCCTTTTCCAGAAACAACTTCACTCACATACACTTTTTAAAAATTCAAGTTACTCCAGTCTGCATTTTCAATAAAAATAACATGAAAGTATAATAATTTCAAGGTTTTTGCTGATCTCTGAATTGAATGTAGTCTAATCAATGTAAATATGGTTTCACAAAACGAAACACATTGTAATTTCTGTGGTGAATAGTAATATCAGATGATTTACCTTGACTAAGATATTAAAACCTGAAAAACAGTGGAAATTCCAACAGAGCATCACTGCAACTGTCAAAGCTATTACAGTAATGTCATGGCATATATACTGTTTTCCTCCTAAAAGAGGAGCTAGAAGAGATTAAAGTGTATATGATTGGTAAAAAAGTCAAATTACTGTTATTTTAGCTTTAATCTTGTGCTGTATGTTTAAGCTTGTTTTAATACAGTATTCAAATTTTGTGTAGGCTTCAGCTTTCACAAGAGTTTAGTTTCTCTTGAATCACAAGCCAGATGTTTTAAGGGTCTAATACTGCAAATGCTTTTTCTGAAATTCTTTGATCAACCAGATTAAAAATCTGCTATTCTGTGGTCCTGTTTAGCTACAGCTCCATCATAATGTCCTATAAAAACAACTTGATCATGATTTCCCAAGCTTAGGTGTTTCTTGTTAGGGAAGTTTATGTCAAGGATGAATTCAGAAAATGCAGTAGAAGTATTTGAAGAGAAGGTTTATTTATTTACAAAGCGACCACAATAGCCAAAACAAAAAGCTCACCTCCTGTAAACTGTATGAATGCTGCATCTTCTTTATACTTAGCTCCAGCACATTCAGAATCCCTCTGTAGATGTTCAGACCATCATCTGAGACAGAATCAGGAGCCATAAGGTTTCCAACATGGCCACTGCTATACTCAAACTTGATGGGATTACTAAATTGCCCGGTTAGTACCTGGGTCAGTTTCAGTGATCGAGAGAATGAGCTTGTAGGCCAGACACCATTGTACTCTGCTGCTTCGATTGAGTGTATCTAGAACAAAGGGGGAATGTAATCCCTCTTTAATTTTTTCAGTTAACTTTTTTCAATGCACATAAGCAACTAGAGTTTTACTCATGTCACACTTAAATAACACAAACCCTCTTCAAAGGGAAATCTTAAAAGTTTTCATTTAACATAGATAGCATCAATATTGCATATTGTCACATATAAAAGGAAAGAGTAATGCAAATGACTGTGATATTTCCACAGTCACTGCACTCTGTTCTGTTTCACAGATAACCCATATTGCCAAAGGTTGACTTGTATGAAGAAATGAGCCAGAGAAGAGCTGCATGAAGCAGGTTGCTCCCCAAAAGTAGCAGGGAAGATCTGCAGGAAATTGCAGGAGAAAGTTAATGTTGCATAAAGTATCATTAAGTCCTGTTGTGAACTCCGTCATCTCCTTTGCTGGGGTCACAGAGCACAGACAGCAGTGAGAAACTAATAACAACATGGCTGCTGGGCCAGTCAGATAGTCATAATTAGTTTGAGCAGTGGAGAGCAGATTACAAAAATTGTCCTTCCCTACATGTTTTGCTGCGGACCTTAAGGCTCAGGCACTGGCCTCAACCCTGCTCTGCACTTCACACTCCAGCCTCAACATGGGGCACATCCAGGCAAGCAGAAAGTTGTGCTAAACTATGCATAACTCCAATGATTTCTACTCCATGGGAATGGGGCATGGTTAGCTTAGTTTCTCAGAGGACTCTTCCCTTCAATATATTTTGACAATTTAGAGAGGCTTTTCTCTGACACCTCAGGCTGGAGATGTGATGCAAGACGCGGATTAATTTCTCAAAAAGCCACACAAACTAAATCCTCATACAGCAAATCACTGGAGACTGCACTTTCATATTTATTTTTGTTATTGTTGGTGGAGATCACTGCCAACCCCAGTAACTGAAGCTTACAGAGGAGGCTGTTACGCAGAAAATCCCTCATGCTGCCTCTTGGACATGCTTCTGGCATATTGCATACAGGCAGGTTTGGGACTGTTCTGCAGGGTCAGGGTGAGATAGTTTTCCCCAGCCCTTGGAGCCCAGTCAGGATTTATGCTGTCTGCTAGGTTTTCAACACAGCTGGCAATTCTTACAATGAAAAAATTGTCATCTGGGAACTGCCCAGGGAACTCAGCTTTTTGCTTGGGCTGAATGCGAACTAGTAGGCTACAGATGAAAGATTAATTCCCTGAACCATCCCTCCAAACTGTCTAATTTAAATATAACAGCAGCAAAATAAACTTTTCCTGGAGCAGAAAGGAATAAATGTATTGTTACCTTTGGCTTAGAACTTGCTCCAAAATCTCGTGATTTTTTTTTCTTTTCTCTTCTTTTTCTTGCTTGAAATGATTTCTGTATTTATTTTTGAAACAGAAACTTTTTCCTAAAGGCACAAGGGCAGGTGAAATGGTGTTGGAAGGTTTTAGGGAACAGGAGTCACATTTTCGTGAAGACTTACCCTGGGACATCAAGTGTTTTGGCAGGTTTTGGCAGGAATGGGGAGGATATGGGGTGAGGACAAGACTGCTTCTGCCTCCTCTCTGCCAGGGAAGCCTTCTACCCTCCAGTGCCGATGTGTTTCTCTTATTTCCTTAGTTTTTTTTGGTTTTTTTTTCCAAAAAATCCAGCTATTCGCAAAGGTCATGGAAAAGCAATGTTTCCCATCTATATCTATTATAATTTGAACTTACAAAAATACGTAGTAACAGAAGGCTAATTCAGGCTGGAAGGCTACAGCATTTGCAAGCATTTATCAGACAGTCACCAGTCTTTTTAATCTGCAGTTTTCAATTTGCCAAATAAAAGCTTTCAAAAAGATCATTTTTCTTTCACATATACAGAAGACTAAGTGGAGTTTGTGTAAAGCAATTGAGGGGTGCGTTTCAACACATGCATTAGAAACACGTATAGGCTTCTGTTAAAGGCAAAAGTGTTTTTCACATAATCAAAACTCTTAGTAATTACTCAGCATGCAGTAAAAATATACAATTGAGGTTGACAAAGAATGTCATTTGGGACCCTGAAGAAAAAGAAGCCACCAGATGACAATTATGCTAAATATTGAATCACATCCAGCTACTGTAGCATGTTTTATTGCCTTTCGTTTGCTGGTTATGAAATCAGTTGATTAAATAATCCTAGGTTGTACAGTTTGGAACAATTGGATTGATCCAGTAATAAATTATTGTGCATTTCAAATTACATTCCATTGTCTCCCTGACCACAAAGCAGAAGAAATCCTTCAGGCCCAAGGTTGGCTTGAGCTGAGAATTACCTGGCAAAGTGCAAATAGAATTTAGGGCACTGCATAAAAAATAATAGTGTTAGTTACATTCTCCCCGAGTAAGCACAACACATGATGAAACTTAATTACTTCCCAAAAGCTTAAAAAAGAAGTCAGGTATGAATAGAATTTTATGTTTCAAATTGAATACATTATCTTACCCTAATAAGACAAAGTTTGGGCCCAATACCACTAATTTCCACTTTACTTTTTATTCTTATTCCAGCTCGTGCAAGTCCTTTCTCTGGAAGTCCACTGAGAAGCACACTTTCATAATCAAATGTATAAACCTTGTTTTCACTGAAATCGGGTTCTGTAAAGAAATGGTTCCCATAAAACATTATAGAGACTGTGGAGAACATATTAAAGTACCTGTAGGAGAATGTATGGAACGAAAAAGATGAATTTGTTCATTTTGCATTGCACCTGAACAAAATTAGCTGTTGTAAAATTATATTAAACATTGATATACTTTTCAGATTCTATTTTGAATTTCACTCATTATAATTATATTAGCTGATAGGAAAATTACTTACGGTAATTAAGATGCTGGCTCCCTGAAAGAGAAGAAGGAAAAAAAAAAGGGTAATGAAATGACAAAGAAAAAAATCCACCCCAAAATGTTAATGTATTTTAGTATGAAAGGCTATATCTCATCTTGTACATATGGCATAACTCTTTCTAATTAACTTTACTTCTAGTTCAGCACATAGCCAAAAGCCTTTTTCCCCTGAACAACAAAAAAAAGTCAGAAAATATTTTTTTTCTATAAAATGCTAAAGCAAATGCAAAGCAGTTATGTTACTTACCCACCAGGGTTAAAACCAAGGCTAATATCAAACCCCTCATGATGGGGATAAAGTAAAGGTGAACATACTGGGTTCTCTTTTATAAAGGCACATGTTATCACGTTTCTTTTGGTATGTTAGTTTGACAAATAAGTGTATTTTAGAATGTGTATTGATCAATCAAAAATAAACATTTCTGAGGTCACGAATGCTGAAAACTTCAAAACACCTCATGATTTCAACTTACTTTCTATGTGAAACATATTTCATTTTCAAAATACCTTGCTTGCTATTTCTTCCCCAATTTCTCCACGTCATAGTTATCTAGTAAAACAATAATTAAAATTTAAAATTAAATAAAAATAGTTCCTCAGTCATAACTGAAATAATTTACCTTTTCTCCAGTGATGTCTTCAGCCTCCTGATGATTTGCTCTTGCTAAGGCTCACAGTTTTGGAGACACACCTTGCTCTGTCACATTCTACTCTACTTTTATAGGAGAATTTGTGATTCATTTCATAGATTTAGATTTGAGATACCTTAGAGCTCATAGACATGCAATGAGAAACTGTCTTGTCATGGTATCTACCACGGCTGTCTTTGCAAGCATACTTTGTTATCCACACCTGGGAAGAGAAATCTTCTGCCTAATGGTCAAGGTTTATACTATGAAAATAGGAGGGAAATTAATTTGTCTGTTTATAAGAAGAATCTAATAAAAACCCAAGTTACATTTCCAGAAGGACCTCAGCGAGTTGGGAGGGTTGGATTCTTCTCAGTAGTTTCTCACAGGGCTTTGGCTGCTGCTACTCCTGGGAAAATACATCCGGAATTTCCCAATTCTGGTAATAACATTAAGACCAACCCTTAGCAAAACTAAGTCAGGAGGGATTTTTCTCCCTAACCTTGGTTATACATATTTTTTGTAGGTGTTTAACATTTACTTTGAATTTAAGCTTGTCTTTTGGTCAAATAGTAAATTAAATATCATGTAAAAAACCCACTTGGGTACAAGGGTTATTGAGGGGGCAGGAAGGATTGCTCAGGAATGCTTATTTCCTTGAGACTGTGAAAGGTACAACATACTTGCAAGTAATGCACACAGGCAGGCAGCTAGACTCTATCCTCTGGGAAGAAAACAAGGTTTTCTCAGCTGTTGCTGTTCATCAGGGAGGAGAAGGGTGAAACCAGAGCACAGGTCCTGAGGCCTCCACTATTGGGCCTGAGAATATATTTACTGCAAGCCCCATCAAACAGTCCCTTTGCACAATTACTTCATTTACTTGGAGTGATGCTACCTGACTGAGGAATAATGAAGTTTATTATTGTGGTGCCAGTGCACCTGAGCTGGAGTCAGGGATGCAGCCACATGGTCTTTCCACTCTGCTGCTGTTTCCCACAGCTGTGCTAGCCAGACAGACAGGGAAAAGGCAGAAGTCAAATGCAGACTGTCTTGTATTGGCATCTCCAGAAATCTTGTGAATTTTAATATTGCTGCTTTCTTTCATGAAGGGAAAGCAGCCAGTCAGAGAGGGACCTGGGGGTGTTGATTGACAGCCGGCTGAACAGGAGCCAGCAGTGTGCCCAGGGGGCCAAGAAGGCCAATGGCATCCTGGCTTGTGTCAGCAATAGCGTGGCCAGCAGGGACAGGGAAGGGATCTGACCCCTGTACTCGGCACTGGTGAGGCCGCACCTCGATTCCTGTGTTCAGTTTTGGGCCCCTCACTACAAAAAGGACATTGAGTGACTCGAGCGTGTCCAGAGAAGGGCAACGGAGCTGGTGCAGGGTCTGGAGCACAGGTCGTACGGGGAGCGGCTGAGGGAACTGGGGGGGTTTAGTCTGGAGAAGAGGAGGCTGAGGGGAGACCTCATCGCCCTCTACAGCTCCCTGAAAGGAGGGTGCAGAGAGCTGGGGATGAGCCTCTTTAACCAAGTAGTAAGTGACAGGACAAGAGGGAATGGCCTTAAGTTGTGCCAGGGGAGGTTTAGACTGGATATTAGGCAGCATTTCTTTCCAGAAGAGGTTGTTGGGTGTTGGAATGGGCTGCCCAGGGAGGTGGTGGAGTCCCCATCCCTGGAGGGGTTTAAGAGTTGTGTTGACATAGCGCTGAGGGATCTGGTGGAGTTGGGAACTGTCAGTGAGAGGTTAACAGTTGGACTGGATGATCTGCAAGGTCCTTTCCAACCTTGATGATTCTGTGATTCTGTGAAAGATACAGAATTAGATGAGCAGTCAGACCTTCTTTGAAATTAAATGTGTGTCTAGTAAAATATTTTAAGATATATGATAGACATATAAACTGTTTGTTACAAGACATTAATAATTGGGTTGTTGTTTCAGTGTGGGTTCATATAGCAAAAAATAGATTTTTTCCTGATGTTTTCTTCTAGGGTGCTAGCTTGTGTGAGATATGGCAAGATGTTTGTGAATGCTGTGAAATTCAGCAGCATACCTTGTCTGCAATGTATGTGCTGTCAAATGTAGTTAGAAATGCCTTAGAAACAGTCACATTTTTTTGCAGCCAGAATGGAAGTAAATGCACAGCAACAGTATAATACTGTAAGTGGTAACATGCAAAACTCCTGCTTGAGTTTCCCTGCTTTTATAACACTGCTCATCAGTGCCAAAGCTCGACCTCTGTAGTAATATTGTGCTTAAGTAGCCACATTTCCACAGGACAAAATGTAAAAGAAACTATATATATTATATACAGACCTATGTAAGCAAGACTATTAATTTAAGCACTGTTATTAACAGCATATTAAAATAATGTCTAAGGGACACATCCACATTAAAATGGAGCTACAGCATTTTTCAAGTTTAATAAAAGGCTTTATAATAAAGTGTAACATGAATAGATTTGTTCTAACTGTGTAGTGAAAATACTCAGTTTCTTTTTTAAAGGGTTACACTCAGCCTAAACTCACAACCAGCATGTAGACACCTGATTACTAGACAGTTAGCTAAAATAACTAAGGTTGTGCAAGCTGTTGTGTTCTCTTCATCTGTGGCACGTCCTCTCTCTTTTTAATAGGTCCTCTCTACCCAGCCTTGTTTTCTTGGGGGTGAGGAGAAAGTGATCTCAGAATTGTTGTACCCATTTTTACTTTAAAGGGACAACCTAATAAATTCAGTAAATGGAGAGGAGACACAGCTAGAGTTGGAGGGTCACAGCACTGGGCTCTAATCCTTTCTCCAAAGCAGACACGTCCTTCCAGGTGGCTCTGAGGGAATAAACAGGCAATCTATCACTTTAAGGGAATGGATAAAAGGAAGAAAGGTGAGAGCCACACTTTTTAAAGCCAGTATGATTTTTCTTAAACAGTCAACATGCCATGTTAGTGAGAAAGAAAATAAATGAAAAATAAATAAAATGCAATTAAACAGGCTCTCCACAAACAACTTTCAAGTGCCTAATTTGGTTTCAGAGGAAGGAACTTTAATGTTGGCTTTATACACAACCTTTGTCTTTTCCTTGTTTTCTTCTTTTTAGCTATAAAGAATGAAGAAACAGAATTCTTAAAAAGCAACAGGAAATATCTTGAATTTTTTTTTTTTTTTTTTTTTTAAGGAAGAAAATATATGGTGTTGAGTGTTACAGAGAGCATGATGGCTGTATAAGGAGTTCAGTAAGATGAGGTAGACTGCTTTGAATTTACAGGCCACTTGCACCATAAATGAAACATGAATACGGCCTAATTAACCTGATTAGAGCTATTGCTTCTACACTGCAATTGTCTTTACATAACACATTCTGCTTGAGTAACAGAGTCTTATTATCTGCTGTTGTACTGCCACCGATAGCTCTGCGCTCTCCTTGTTCTGTATTCACATTGCTGAATTATGGTGCAGTGATGCCATTTCCATCCTGATAATATATAGCCTAACAACAAAGCAGGGATTAGCAAAACAGCTCCCAAGCAACCATACCAGGTTAAAATAGATATAATCAGTTGGCTAAGCTAAGTGATTTTTAGCCTTCAGTTTTCCTTATTTCTAAAGATGAAGAAATATTATTTTAAAAATTATAAAAAACTAATTCACACCTATTTCATATTTATCAGTCACTCCTTGATTTTTTTTTTCTCAAAATATTCAGCATTTGCTATTGCAGTAGAGCCTCCAAGATAATGTTTGATATTCTCTCCAGAGACTCTGGATGTTGTCTAATGAATAAGAATGTGTTCTGGGTTGGGCTAAATTGCCATATGCTGATTCCAGTACATTCACAAAGGGATTTTGTTACATTAGCTTGCTTTAAAAGGTGCTTTTTGTTTTTTTATGACTTCCATTCCTTTTACTAGAAAGAAACCAACAGGTCCAATTCCCTGCTGCTATCCCAGTTTGATTCTGGCACACTACCATCAGAGTGATAACTGTGGGAATTGGATACAAGGTCTGCAAAGTGAAAGAGGTAGAAATGCGATGTATATTTTGTCTAGTTTTTGGAGTATGCATGGTTTGAAAGATGCTGTTGGTCTAGGTTTATAATATAGCTGTAGGATTTTGTTTTGATAAATTTGATTTTCATTAATATACGCTATTAAGCCAGAGCTTTGCGCATTTCAGTGAAGTAGTCAGTGGGACTGTTCCTGACACCTAGCATGGATTTGCCTATCATTTCCAGAGAAAAGGATGAAATTAAGAAAAAAAAGAGTGTGGGATCCAACTCTGACATTCTCAATCTGCAAACAGACTGCTTTGATACAGCTTAGCTTTACTAAGATGCTCAAAGCGTTTTATTTTCATACAAATATGGAAAACACATTCTAAATCCTAACAGTCCACCATCATTGCTATCATCATTGGCTCATCAGCCAGCATACTGATTCAGTGGCTTCAGGACTTCCCCCCCTTTTAGTATATACTCTTTCCCAAGTCATTCAGTAAAGTTAAATGTTAGACAAATTGCTGTCTGAGATTTGAGTCACATCATATTTGAGGACTGGCGTTCGCTATGTAATTCTATTGCACTGGAAGATAACTTCTCCAAGTTTATCTTAACCCTAACTTAAGACTTCATGGTCACAGAGTGATTAGCTGCTGTGGCATTGGTACTG